CATATTACCATCTTCTGTTATTCTCATAACATTCATCACCAACTGGTTTGATACTGTTTTGTTTACTTTCTTTATATCTGTCTCTGTCTATTAGGATTAAGTATACCCAAGGAAGCAGTTTGTGTTTTTCTTTAGTATGGAGCACAGTGGCTGGCATCTAGCATTCACTCAGAAAACATTAGTTAAAAGCATGGCTGGCTGACTGGTTCTTGTCCAATCATTAGTTTCTTGGTGTCGATCTGGTTCCTTCAACTCTACAAGACATTGCATAACATCAGTCTTTTGAACCACATTCTACATTTGAATTACCTTTGAGTGGCACATTTGATTTTGTAGTGTCATGTTACATTTGACAAAATTGTGAAGGCTATACTCTCATTCATATAAGTAGAAATCTTCATATTTCACTTTCACGAAATATATGAAATCTAAATATCTTCAGTGGCAATTAAAGGCTACTAAAGAGTTCAAACACTGGACTAAGACATTACTGCTACAAAGAAAGATGCATAATATTGATGTTTTTCAAGTGCAGTGGTGGTTTCTTAATAAAAATTTTTGAATTTATTAAGAACTTGTTTTGGTTTGGATTTTATATGTCCTAGGATACTGTCTGCTTAGCTGCAGACACAGACATATTTTCTCTCAGTATATTTAAAGTGACATCTTTGATAGCTGCCACAGGGTCACTCAAAGCAGAACAGAAGAGTGCCTTATGCTACAGCTTGGTCCCTTGTTGAAACATTTCATAGCAGGCATGCTTCTCAGCAAATGTCTAGATGTGCAAATTAGAATGTGGTCTACTTTTTATGACAGTTGTAACACATACCATCTGTCTTTATAAGGTTTTTTTTCCTTCATTAACTGCCAGTCAATTGGATGTAATAAATTCTCCCTGCAAATATTATTCATCAGCAGTACTTCAGTGGAGTTTAGATCAACAGGTGAACAGCTCACTTTTAAAAATATAAATGGAATTTAAAAGGAATTGTGACTTTCTAGAGCATAATTGTCAGAATATGTTTTATGGTTTATCATTGGTCTTGTGGATTCTAAAACCAAACTACTCATTTTGATAATTCGACTATTGTAGTTTTATAAAATATTGACCTTCACTAAGTAATAATTTAAAATGTATAGAGGAAGTGGTTTGTATATATTTTTGTCAATCATTTGTGTCATTGTTTAGAGTCTGTAAGTAAATTTAGATATGAGTTAAAATTCACTGTATGTTTTATTTGTAATGTTTTTCAAAAACTTATTTTTTTCTCTAAGGATCATAATGAAGAATTAACTTAAAAAATAATGTGTTTCCTTACCTATATTGACTTCAAGCTAATGACCCACAAATCAACAATCTCACTCTTGCTATTTTACTTGCATTCTAGCCATATTTTTACAACAAACTATAAGACATTGAAAATTAAATTACCCCCTCCCATGCCACATTTTCCAAATAATATTTATTTTCTTTTTCTTAAAACGGACTCTTCTATACACTCTTCTTATTTCTTCAAGCGGTTTTATTATTGTTCAGTCTCCTGAGCTTAAAAATAGACTTCTCCTTTCCCCTTTATTTTTGACTCTTTTCCCGTAGCTAAGAAGTCCAATTCGATCTTCTCCACAGTGTCTTAGGTTTGTGTCTCTTCCTTGCCAATCGTTTGCTGCCCATTGCAATAAAGATCCAGATTACCTCATAAAACTCCTATGTTGCGTTCCCAGTTTATTACTTGAATAAACATCACATTGCATTGAGCAGACATAACATTACTCCCTTCCTCAAACATCTATCATTTAACCTGATCCCATTTATCTTCAGCTAGCTTTGGTACCTTATCTATTTTTTTTTTCTTTTAACCATAGCTCACTGCAGCTTCAAACTCTGTAGCTGAAGTGATCTTACCAACACAGCCTCCTAAGTACCTGGGACTACAGATGTGCACCATCATGCCCAGCTAATTAAAAAAATAATCATAGAGATAGGGTCTCGATATTGTGCCTAGGCCAGTCTTGATTTCCTGGCCTCAAACAATCCTCCTGCCTCAGCCTCTCAAAGTGCTTGGATTACAAATGTGAGCCACCATGCCTGGCCTCTTACTTATTTTTAGTATAAACTTTTCACCTCAGCTTCATTTGAGATCCTTACTATCATCCCTTCCCCTCTGTCTTTGTATAACTACCTCACTGCTTGGGGCTCAAGTCCTGATCTAACTGTGAGTTTGCTCTGGACTTCCACAGTTTTGTCCTTGAAAGTTTGTGTGCCAAGAAACTCTTCAGTTCCAGGCAAATGGACATAGTTGTTCTCTCTACCTACTTCTCTAATTTAATAAACAGATTTTTATAAATTAGATCTACTGTGTTGTAGGCACTTTGCTAAATGCTAGGAATATCTGACTGAATAAAAGATATTCTCTGTTCTCCAGTAGTTTAGAATTCATAGGTGAGATATGCCATTACAATATGATACAATACATTACAATATAGTAGGTTCAAGGGCACCTAGCTAGCCATGGGATTCAGAAAAGGATTCCTAGTAGAAAGAATGCAGGAGAATGGATAGAAGCCAGGTGTCATGTGGAGTTATTTTTTGGACAGGATAATTTCTGGTTATGTGAAAAGTTTATACAAGGGCTAGAAGATTAAATGAAATGTTTATTCTAGAACTTCAAGTAGTTTTGTCTGTTTGTATTAGAAGAGGGATGGAAATAAAGGAGTAGTGAAAGATGTGTTCCAAAAAGATGTCATGTTAGAAAGACAGACAGTGATTGCCTGGCCATGAGATTTGGAATTTACATAGTGACAAATCGCAATCCTTTACTAAGTTGTGAGTAGAGAAGTAACATAATGAGATTTAGAAAGGTCAGTTTGCACAACATGGATTAGCAATAGTGAAGCAATAAATAATAAGACAGGAAGATGAAAGAACTAGGAAGCTATGACAGTATTTACTCTCAGAGCTAATCTTTTTTCAGATATCCTTCCATTTGAAATATTCCCCCAATATCTTCACTGCACTTTTCCCAAATTTACCTATTGGACAAGTCTTGTAAAGTCATACTTTCTCCAGTCATTTTCTTACTCTTCTAGTCCTCATTGATCTCTTCCTTTTGTGATTGTTCTATCAATGAGCATCATCTTTTCATTTAACAATTACCCTCTAATTTCTCTTACAAAGTATTCTAGTCTCCCAGAGTTGCCAATTACTTGAAGACACAGATTATCTTTTACTCACCTTAGTCAAGACTGTTCACACAAAAAATGGTTTAAAAATAAAACCCAAAACCTTAAACTTGGGCTTTTTGATTATATTTCAAATGTTCAGTGCAAAAATATTAATGCCATTCATTCAAAAAGCTTGTTTTATATTATATATTATTTCAAATATTGTGGTACCTCAATTTTAATTAGTAAAGTTCCTATGGAGAAATTGACACTTCAAAAATAATTGGTTGCTTAACTGTAGCTTCCTACTTCCAGCTTATACTTTCTCTCCTAAAGTTCCAATAATAGAAAACGTAGATGATATCTTAAGATTGGAAACTGAACATATGCCTTCCTCCTCCTACTTGTAAAACACATACATACTTTCTCTTCTGTCTCCTCTTTCTTTCAAACTCTCTCTTTCCTATGAATGGAATGGAATGTTGTGACTGGAAAGAAAAGTACCTGTGTAAATTAGAGAGACTGTGCTGCCTGTGACAGGATTTGACCAGCCTTTACCTGCTCTATCATTCTTTCAACAACTGTCTGATGCCAGGGAGCTCTCTAAGCAAGATCAGGTTCATATGTTCATATTCATATGTTCACTTTTATTATTCTAAGTCTGTGTAATAACATCTACATAGCAGGATTGTAGTGAAAACTAAAATTGGACCACATAGTTGGTACCCCCATGTGTAACTAGTTATAATAATAATGATTATGATTAGCCTGCATTATAAAAACTAGATTCATTTGGAAAAGTTGAGGATTATGACTTTTCAGGTTGTTCTTCTGTCTTTATTCAAGAAGGGCAACAATCATCAATGGACTGTCACCAGGATTTTGGAGAAAAGTGCAATGTGGAATTTAAAGGGATTTAAAACTCTTTCAGTTCCCCTTCTGAACCATTTCCTCTTATTCTTATCTGTTTCACATATACTCAGTGTTTTCATGTTGCTCTTTGACTAAGTTCATCTCCTCTTTGACAAATGTATTATTTTATTCCCTAAATTTCTTTCACCTCTACCTAAATTGGAATTCTTTTTTCCTATTGCTGCATAGCAATATACAATAGTGAGATAAGAAATACTTACCATAAAGAGTAAATAGAAATGTCTTTCTCTTTTTTGTAAGGAAAATACGTATTTTGAAAGTGGAACTTGATAATGTATATGAATTGCTAATTGCTATATAAGTCCTAGAAGAGAAGTGTCCTAGAGCTTTTCAATCTTTGTTTTCATTACTCTTTTTCATATATTCCAATTGATTTATGTCCCTATTATTAAAATGAATTTTTCAGCCTATAATTATAACAGTAATTTTTGTGTGCTTTATGCATGATTTAAACATTTTCTTCTTGGTTCAAATAACATGTTTCATAATGTTTGATTTTTTTAAATAACAGGAAGTGTTTTTCTTGTTTCTCTACCTTATTATAAAAATTCACCATGGTGGTCTGTGTTTATATTTCCTTGAACAGATTCCTCTTTACTTGAATTCTAAGAATTTGTTTTTTGTAAATAGTTCAGTTTACCCATTTAACTCTTAAATTTATGAAGTATACATGTTAGGTACAGTTTTTCTTTTCATGTGGTTAGAAATTTTTAAATGCTCTGTTATCTTTTTTAAATGTAAAGGGGGAAAGCAGTGAAGGGTCAGAAATTTCCACAGCTTAGAATTTCAGACTTTAGAATACTATTATGAATTATGGTAAAATATGTTTCTTCTTTTTCACACAGTCATACTTTAGCAAGGTGAATACAATGACATATTTCCAAAGACTGTTTCTTTTTACCCAGGTGATCAAGTAGTCTGGACTGGTTACTACGGCTTAGTGTATAACCTGGTGAAAATGTCATGGGAACTTCAAGGAGATGAAGAACAGAATGGACTTAGAAACATGATATGGCAAACACTGCAGAGAACAAAGGATTATGAGAAAGATGTACGAATTAAAAATGCAATCAATATAGCTCAGGTAAGGTAAGACACTGGGAAATAAATATGTACCTCTATCATCAGGAAGCATGGTTGTCGTTTCTCTCAATGGTAAAAAAAACTCTACATTCAGTGAGTATTAGCGACTCACAGCTGATAATATTTTTAGAACTTGACGCTGATCTATTTTTGATTTAAGGTAAGAGAGTTGAGCTCTAGATGGTAGTATAAAGGCCTCCAAAAGTCTGTAATAGAAAAAGAATTAAATTCATTTAACACATCTAGGGAAACGTACACCTCAGCAAGGGTGATTCCACCATAGAACTTGGTGGGAAATTCTGATAGACATGTTAGGTACACTAGATTGAAGTAACGTTAAGTTACGATTCTTTTTCTCTTTTCTTGGTGAAGACATTTAGAAAGTAATGGAAGTTTTAAGGAGCATAACACAATCCTCTAATTTGAGTACTATGCTAGGATGGGCTGTGAAAGACTTGTGTAAGGGCACTTTCACTACCTCATACCAACGGGTGCCAAAAGAGGCAGGCTGTGGGTAAGGTTCAAATAGGAGGGGCAACGGGCTTTTTATGATGTTAGGAATCCAGAGACCTATTCTCTCAATTGAGCAGTTCCTCCCTTGTTTAGTTCAGCGAGCAGACATACCAGGAAGAAGGCTGAACACAGTGATATCATGACTCTGGACTAGAGAAAGGGTAAAGGTGGCCCTAACCTCAGTGATTTCAACACATATAGGAAATGAATAGGTAAAAGTAAAAAAAAGTAAAAAGCCACTGGCTCCAAGACTCTTCCCTCTTTTCTCAGCCTGTTTGATTACTGTATTTTTTAGAGGCTTGTTGAATGGCTCTGATCAAAATGCTGATAGTGATATGGACAATAAAGTCCAAGCTGAGGTGGTCTCAGATGAAGATAAGGAATTTGTTGGGAACTGAAGTAAAGGTCACTCTTGCTATGCAACAAGGCTGGCAGCATTTTGCCCTTGCTCTAGAAAGTGGAACTTTGAACTTAAGAGGGATAATTTAGGGTATCTGGTAGAAGAAACTTCTAAGTGACAAAATGTTCAAGAGGAATCAAAGCATAAATTTGAATGATTTGCAGCCTGACAATGCAGTAAATAAGAAAAACCCATTTTGCGGGGGAAGAAATTGAAGCCTACAGCAGAAATTTGCATAAGTAAAAGGAGCTAGATGCCAGTGACCAAGACAAAGGGGAAAATGTCTCCAGGGCATATCAGAGACATTCCCAGCAGCCCCTCCCATCACAGTCCTGGAGGCCTAGGAGGGGAAAATGGGCTGTGTGCAGGACCCCCTTGTTTGGTGCCCTGGATCTCAGCCACTCTAGCCATGGCTAAAAGAGGCCAAGGTACAGCTCAGGATGTGGCTTCAGAGGGTGCAAGCCCCAAGCCTTGGCAGCTTTCACATGGTGTTGGTCCTGTGCATGTGCAGAAAACAAGAATTGAGGTTTGAGAACCTCTACCTGGATTTCAGAGGATGTATGGAAAGGTCTGATGTCCAGATAAAAGTTTGCTGTAAGGGCAGAACCCTCATGGAGAGCCCCTACACGGGCAGTGTGAAAGGAAAATGTAATGCTGGAGTCCCCGCACAGAGTTCCCACTGGGGCATTGTCTAGTGGAGCTGTGAGAAGACAGTCACTGTCCTCCAGACCCCAGAATGGTAGATCCAACAACAGCTTGCATTCAATGCCAGCCCATGAAAGCAGCCAAGAGCAGGGCTGTCCCCTGCAAAGCCACAGGGGGCACAGCTGCCCAAGGCCGTGGAAGCCCACCTATTGAATCAGCATGACTTGGATGTGAGACATGGAGTCAAAAGAGATAATTTCCGAACTTCAAGGTTTATTGATTGTCCTGTTAGATTTTAAATTTGCATGGGGCCTATAGCCCCTTTGTTTTGGTCAATTTCTCCCATTTGGAATGGGTATATTTACCCAGTGCCTGTATCCCCCTTGTATCTAGGAAGTAACTAACTTGCTTTTGATTTTATAGGCTCATAGGTGGAAAAAACTTGCCTTGTTTTAGATGAGACTTTGAACTTGTAGAGATAAGGTGGGCACCTATTCTCATTGCCTGAAGAGAAAATACCAAGCGAGTTTTTCACCACCTATTTTGGCAACAAAAGCCATTAGTGAAATCCCTAAACCATATCTACTCCATCAATGTTGTAAACTTTTTTAAAGTTTGCTGTCTCATAGTTACACGAAGATTGGTAGCTTGCCTCAGTTAATGCTAGAATGAGATAAAAACCTTGGGAGATTGTTGGAAGGGTATGATTGTGTTTTGAAATGTGAGGACATGAGATTTGAAGGGGCCAGGGGTGGAATGATATGGTTTGGCTCTGTTCCCAGCCAAATCTCATCTTGAATTTTATCTACTATAATCCCCACATGTCGGGGGAGGAACAGAGTCGGAGGTAATTAAATCATGGGTGTGGGTTTTTATCCATGTTGTTCTTGTGATAGTGAATAAGCCTCATGAGACCTGATGGTTTTATAAAGGCCTGTTCCCCTGCACATGCTTTCTTGCCTGCCAACATGTAAGCCATGCCTTTGCTCCCTTTTTGCCTTCTGCTATGATTGTGAGGCCTCTGCAGCTATGTGGAACTGTGAGCCCATTAAACTTCTATTTCTTTGTAAATTACCCAATCTCAGGTATTTCATAACGGTATGAAAATAGGCTAATACAGTAAATATTAGGAAGAAATTAATCTATTTGTAAGCAGTAGCCATTGTTTTGTGTGCTAGCAATACAGTTTTAAACAAGCAGATAGGGCTGGGCGCGGTGGCTCACGCCTGTAATCCCAGCACTTCGGGAGGCCGAGGCGGGTGGATCGCGAGGTCAAGAGATCGAGACCATCCTGGTCAACATGGTGAAACCCCGTCTCTACTAAAAATACAAAAAGTTAGCTGGGCATGGTGGTGCGCGCCTGTAATCCAGGCTACTCGGGAGGCTGAGGCAGGAGAATTGCCTGAATCCAGGAGGCGGAGGTTGTGGTGAGCCAAAATCGCGCCATTGCACTCCAGCCTGGGTAACAAGAGTGAAACTCAGTCTCAAAAAAAAAAAAAAAAAAAAAAAAACCACACAGAAAAAACCAAGCAGATAAATATTATTTTAAATATAATTTAAAGTTTGGATCAAGAAGACTAACAATAAACTTGCAAATTAGTTAATTAAAATAAAATATCAAATAGTGCTATTTATACTATTGTTGCTGGGTTTTGGGGTACAGGCGAGTGCTCAGCTCCCCTAAGAGGATGTTTTTCCAGGCTTTTGGTCTCTCACCCAAGAATGGGAGAGGAACCACGTTGGGTACACTTACAAGAAAATATTGGACCCCAAAGAGTTTTTTTTTTTTTTTTTTTTTTGCAGAAAAGTGATTCATTTAGGCAGAAAAAGAGAAGAAGGAAAGAAAAGATGAGAGAGAAATCTTCCACAAAGAGTGTGGAAGGGGACCCAAGTATGGAATCCAGGAGGGGAAAAGCAGCTTCCAGGAGACTGGAAGGGGACCCCCAGAGGGGGAAATCCCCCTGGATGAGAGAGACAGGGACTTTTAAGGTGGAAGGAATTCCCACCTTCTCCACGTCCCCTGGCCAATGAAAAGAGTTCCTTTAAACTTCCGCTGGAGTTATTGACTTTGATTATTTTCCCGTGCCCACGAAAATTTAAACAAAAACCATTAAATCTCCTGGATGGAGCGAGGGGAGGGAGGCATTGGGAAGTTCTTGTCCTTGAAACTACGCCCTCTTGTGGACCCGGAAAGAGAATACATTCCCTCACTATGAAGAAAACAAAGTAGGGAAAAGCTATTGGAATGGGATCAGCAAGAGTAGGGAGCGGATGCTTCAGCTGGAGTGGTCAGAGAAGGGTTTCCAATGAGGCATTATTTGAAACGAGAACTAAATAATGAGAAGGAAATATCTATAAAAAATGTACTCTGGTAAAATGTATTCTGCAAAGACTCTAAGAAAAGAATTAGTTTGGTGTGTTAAGAGAGCAAAAAGACCAATGTGTGCTGTCCTCTGGTAAGGGAAGGAAAGAGTGGTAGGACTTACAGGTGGGTAAGGAGAGTTGTTTGAAGATGGCAATAGTAGCACATAAGTAGTAAGCTCTGGGGAATACTTTTTTTAATGTTGCAAAAAAAATAAAAAAAAGTTTAAGTGGGAAGTACATTTAGAAAAATGAAACCAGGCTATAAAAAGCATAGAACTGATCAATCTTAAAATTGTTTCCTCAGGAAAATAAAAACAACATAAATTATTTTAGACTAGCTAATATAATGGAAAAATGAGGAAAACTTTTATTAATCACCAAATTCAGAAGGGTAAAGGGAATGTGATTATAAGAAAGTAATTGTAAAATGATTATAAAAGGACCAATTTACAACTATTTGTGAAAATGTAGTGCAATAAACGATTTTCTAAAGAAATATAAATGGTGAAAATTGACTGAAAGGATATAAAAATTTTAACAAAGATTAGGAGAAATCTGCAGGTGACCTACTAGATTTGTTCATATGAATATCATGCACAAGACTGAGATATTCATTGGTATTGCTAATATGTACCATTGTTATTGACATACTAACCCATGCACTCATATATAGCAGGTAACTGAATATATGTTGGGTCATAACTGGAGAATGTTTAAACCGAGTTTGTCATACCAAAGCAGTAGGTTAGAGTGGCTAAAAACTTGGGAACAGAGAATAAAATAATTCAGCTTAAATTCCAGCCCCACACACTCTCTTTATACAGATGCGATTTGGATGAGACATGGAACAAGTTATTTCTCAGCCTTAGTTTTATTATTTTTGAAAAATGTATGCCAAGGGGTACTTCTTTTTTTTGTGATAACATAAATATTTTATTTAAAATACTATATTTTCTAAAGAAAACAGAAGAGTGGTACTAAGCACTTTGCAAGTATATATATATATATGGCTGCATAGTATTCCATGCTGTCTATGTGCCACATTTTCCTTGTCCAGTCTGTCCTCAGTGGGCATTTGGGTGGGTTCCAGGTCTTTGCTATTGTAAATAGTGCTATAATAAACATACGTGTGCATGTGTCTTTATAATAGAACAATTTATAATCCTTTGGATATATACAAGTAATGGGATTGCTGGGTCAAATGGAATTTCTATTTTGAGGTCCTTGAGGACTCACCACTCTGTCTTCCACAATGGTTGAACTAATTTACACTCCCACTAACAGTGTAAAAGTGTTGCTATTTCTCCATATCCTCTCCAGCATCTGTTGTCTCCAGATTTTTAATGATCTTCATTCTAACTGGTGTGAGATGGTATCTCAATGTGGTTCTGATTTGCATTTCTCTAATGACCAGTGATGATGAGCCTTCTTTCATATGTTTGTTGGCTTCATATATATCTTCTTTTGAAAAGTGTCTGTTCATTTCTTTTGCCCACTTTTGAATGGGTTTTTTTTCCTTATAAATCTGTCTTAGTTCTTTGTAGATTCTGGATATTAGCAGAATCTTTGTCAGATGGTTAGATTGCAAAATTTTTTCCCATTCTGTTGGTTGCCAATTCACTCTAATGACAGTTTCTTTTGCTGTGCAGAAGCTGTGGAGTTTGATTGGGTCCCATTTGTCTCTTTTGGCTTTTGTTGCCATTGCTTTTGGTGTTTTAGTCATGAAGTCCTTGCCTATGCCTATGTCCTGAATGGTTTTGCCTAGGTTTTCTTCTAGGATTTTTATGATGTTAGGTCTTATGTTTAAGTCTTTAATCCATCTGGAGTTAATTTAAGTGTAAAGTGTCAGGATGATATGATTGTATATTTAGAAGACCCCATCATCTCAGCCTAAAATCTCCTTAAATTGATAAGCAACTTCAGCAAAGGCTCAGGATATAAAATCAACGTGCAGAAATCACAAGCATTCCTATACACCAATAACAGACTGAAAAAGAGCCAAATTAAGAGTGAACTACCATTCACAATTGCTACAAAGGGAATAAAATACCTAGGAATACAACTAACAAAGGAAGTAAAGGACCTCTTCAAGGAGAACTACAAACCACTGCTCAAGAAAATAAGAGAGGACACAAACAGATGGAAAAACATTCCATGCTCATGATTAGGAAGAATCAATATTGTGAAAATGGTCATACTGCCCAAAGTAATTTATAGATTCCATGCTATCCCCATCAAGCTACCTATGACCCTCTTCACAGAACTGGAGCAAACCACCTTGAACTTCATATGGAACCAAAGGAGAGTCCGCAGAGCCAAGACAATCCTAAGCAAAAGATCAAATTAGGAAGCATCACACTACCTGACTTCAAACTATACTACAAGGCTAGTAATCAAAACAGCATGGTACTGGTACCAAAACAGAGATACAGACCAATGGAACAGAACAGAGGCCTTGGAGGCAACACCACACATCTACAACCATCTGATCTTTGGCAAACCTGACAAAAACAAGCAATGGGTAAAGGACTCCCTGTTTAATAAATGATGTTGGGAAAACTGGCTAGCCATGTGCCAAGGAATACTTCTAATGCTCACAGACAGGGATAGTAACTGAAAATCACACAAGAGACAGGAAAGCTAAGTGATTTTGAGAGCACAGAATCTATGACAAGGTTGTCTGTGTTCAAATGGGTGATCTACCACAGAGTAGATAACTGATCTTGGGCATATTTTTACCTCAGTTTCCTTCTCTGAAAATGGGGCTAATAATAGTATCTAATGCATAGGCTTGTTATGATGACCAAATGAATTCATGTTATAAAGCATTATAAAGTTTTTGATAAAGAAAACAAACAGATAAAAGTTATTTGTTACACTCTAAGTTATATTACTTCTCAATATTTCTAGAGATTGTGATTTATTATTGTGCTGTTAGAACTATAAGAGAACATTTGCTTTTAACAAAAAAAATAATCGGCTGGGTTTGGTGGGTCGCGCCTGTAATTTCAGCACTTTGGGAGGCTGAGGCAAGTGGATCAGAAGGTCAAGAGATCGAGACCATCCTGGTCAACATGGTGAAACCCTGTCTCTACTAAAAATAAAAAAAATTAGCTGGGCATGGTGGAGCGTGCCTGTAGTCCCAGCTACTCAGGAGGCTGAGGCAGGAGAATTGCCTGAACCTGGGAGGTGGAGGTTGCCGTGAGCCGAGATGGCGCCATTGCACTCCAGTCTGGGAAACAAGAGTGAAACTCCGTCTCAAAAAAAAAAAAAAAAAAAAAAATCAACTGCAAATATTGATCAATTTCAGATAAAGAAAGTGAAAATAACATAGCAAAATATTTAAATGAAGTAGAGGATAAGTAAGCTATGAAGTAAATCAATGAAATTCTTTTATTGTGGTGGTTTCTTACAGGTGTTGCTAACTGAGGCAACCTACAAAGCTCATGAAACTATGAGATAGCAGGCTTGAAAAAACTTTACAACATTGATGGAGTAGATATGGTTTAAGGATTTCACTAATGGCTTTATTTATGTTCCAAAATAGGTGGAGAAAACCTTGGTTGATATTTTCTCTTTAGGCAATGAGAACAGGTGGCCACCCTAATGTCTACAGGTCCAGCACTTGGCATTCCTTTGACTAAGCAGCCTGAAGAGTCGATTTGTGGGAAGAATAATTGTTCTGTTTTGGGTTTATGCCTTTTGGAGACATTTATTAGTATGCTGACCAAGCATTCCAATTTGCCCAGGTTTGCATGGGTTCATGCTTATTGTCCCAGCTTTCTTACTAGTAGTAAATTAATTCAGTTACAAAAGTTTCTCAATTTGGATGGCAAATTATTAATTGATCTTACTGTTAACTTTTCATTAGACAATATGCTGCAAATCTGGACTGGCCAATACTAAACTCTTTATGTTAAAGTTTAAATCCATTTTACAGCTTCTTGATTTTTCTAGCTATGATTGAATGAACATACATTTTTCTTCATATTTAGGGAAAACCATTTTGAAATTGGCTATTCACTCTTCATAAATTACACGTAATTTTTCCAGTGATGCTTTTTCCATATGGCATCCTAGGATATTTCAAAGTGCCATCAAACACTTTTTTTTTCTTGTGTCTTATTTGAGACAATTTAATCTGGTTATAATCAGGAAATACACATTTTTCTGTCATTGAAAATTCTTGGTTATTTCTAACTTTCATGTGTGCAATTATTCTAATATTCCTAATATCCTGTTTTTAGATAATAATTATGGATATGAATTAGTGTTAATAGGTAGGAGGGGCAATTAATAAATTTACTCTGCCCAGCTAGTTATCAAAGTATATGGATGAGCCGTTACTAGCAACCCAAAGTATCTATACTCTAGATAAGTCATAGAAAACAAAAACTGAAACTCTTTGCTTTTTAACCGTAAGTACCAGTTGGAATGTTAATCCTTAAGGAGTACTATCTAAACACAAGCAGTTCATCATTTTCTCTAGATATTCTATTTTTTCTTGGAAAAAAACAATCACAGAGCTGCCCACTTGAATTATAGTGTCTTGAATTTCATGGACTTGCTTTTATGCAACTATGCTTCAGCTTTATCCTTGGATTTGGAGTAAGAGCCAAAAAGAAAAGAGAAACAAAGACAATTAATATATTTATTTCAGTGATGGCCACTGTATCACCCAATATCCCCATTATCAGGATTCAGGAAATAAATCCTCATTAGTCTTATGTACTCTATGAACCTTTTTACTAATTTTGTATAAACTGTTTGTTGGACCCTAAAAAAATTAGAGCCTAATTTTTGAACAATTCTAAGAGAAATAGAAAATGGCATATAGTCACCTCACCCAGCCTTATTCTTATCTTGTTGTTCTGTTTCCATGATTCTTTCAATTATTTGTGTTACTCTCTAGTTTTCTAACTATTTTTATATGCAAATCAAATCACAAATGGATTATACTGTAACTAGCTAAATAAGTTAACTCAAATTTGTGATTTCTATAATTAGAATTCTATTTATATGCCTGTTTTCAGGACCAATCATTTGATATAAGATATTCTTTTTTTCTTCAAAATTTTAGTAAATATCTATAGATAATTACATTTGAAATTCATAAGTCAATCAGACATAGCAAATATATTTTAGATATTAGATGCAAGCAAAGACCTCATTGCTGGAATAGTAAGCACTGAGAATTAAGGAATAAACAATTATATAACCACTACCTGTGCTAATTTGTTTTCAATTCTTAGAAGACATTTAAAGGGTGTTTTCATTCATTTTAAATATTAAATGGAGGGAGGAAGTTAGCTTTCTTCACAGACAAATCTAAGTCAGAAATTTCTAAAAGCAGTTATACTGATTTAGGCATAAAATATGTTTAAGAAATATGTTTAATTTGCATTGAATATATTAACTAAAACACAGTTAAGTCTATACCTATTTTATTTAAAAGTTAGAAATACAGACAGTGGATTATTAAACAACCATCTATATGATTTATGGTTATAAATGATAAAGTATTTAAACTAGTGGCTTTGAAAAAAATCACTTAATTTAGTTAGAATTCCATTACTTAAGACACTACAGATATATAAAGTACAAAATTATATAAAATTTTTCCCCATATCACTGAAAATATGAAATAAATATGTATTTATTATTTACTGTGTCTATTCAGCCTAGCTGAATTCTATGGAAGATGCAAAGAAGTATAAAACATGACCTTTACACATAAGCTTTACTGTCTCATCCAGAAAGCACAGTCTACAGAAATAGACAAAGACTAACACAAAGAGGATATAAGTGGCTTGCCCCATCAGAAGCTCAGATGTATGTATGATTCCTAACTTTTTAATATTTTCTTATCTATAATGTGTTATTGTCCTCTTCAAGTATTAAATAATACTTGAGATAGAAAATAATAACTTGGATTACATGATGCAATACGGCAGGGTCAAAGAAATCTTGAAGATAATGAAATGTCACGAGCCATGCAGGAATAAGAATACTGTGAAGAGAACGCTGTAGGTTGACTTGCCTAGTTGGGAAAATAGCTTGGATTGAGCACTCATGGACATTAAATCTGGAAGGTTTGTTTGAATTACCAAGCTAAGATGATGGGGACTTAGGTGGTTTCATAGAAACAGAGATGCTAAGTGGAGGAATTAATTGTGGGGGGAAAATTGTTGGTTCTAATTGAATTTTAATTATTTGGTAATTTATGTTGGGTGAAACTTGTATGTAAAATTTCCTGTAACATTTTAATAGTGAATTCCTGCTTTGGAACTTGTGGTACATTGTTAGAGTAATTATTTCCCATTTATTCAGTGCTCTCTATAACCACACCTTGCATCATTCTCGCCATACTCAAATTCTTGGCTTGACTGTTACTTGATTTAGATAATAGGCAAAAGCAAATTTGTATGAGGAGAGATTTAAAAAATATTTACTCATTGGGGCCTGCCCTTTCTTGTTCTCTTGGAACCCAGGAACTGCCATGTCAGTAAGTGTATTTCCCAGCGGGAAGATAACAGACAACATGGAACAGACAAGCCATTTTAACTGATTTACTCCCATCCACAACTCTAGCCAGTCTCCAACTGACCTAAACTCTTACCACAGGCACAAAAATAAACTCAGCTGAGACAGCAGAACCATTCTCTGTTCCCAGCTCAAATTGCTGACCTGTGGAACTGTATGCTAAATAAGTGGATGTGTTAAGCCTCTTAGATTTTGGTGATATTTTTACATAGAAAAGGTTTTTTGAGAGAAGGCTGCATAAATGGGATTTCAATTTGCTATATTCTTTAATGTGAGTATTTTTTCTTTCATATTTATTATGTTTAAAAAGACATAATGATGGCTAAGATTTTGATAAATATTTACCATATATCATATGATAAACACTTGATGGATTAATTATCCAGTTCTCATAAAACCATAGTTTATATATATACACACGCACATATATGTATACCCACATATATACACACTCACACACATTATGCTCTTGATTTTACAATTGAGGAAATTGAAAGTTTACATGAAAACAGTTTTTTTCAAGGTGAAGTAACTTGACTGTGGAATCATAGCTAGCTATCAGCAGTGCTTGAATTCAAACTCATATATGCTACTTTGATGGCCAGTGCTCTTAAACATTCTCCCCTGTGAGTTATCCCTTGTATCAAATTCTTGAGTTATTTTAAGAAAATGTACAAAGCAAAAAAAAATATTAATGAAGGTAACAAGAAGATAAAAAGGACTGTTAACATTTCTTACTACATAAATTTTGTATTATAATTTTGCTTCTGGCTTCATTATATTTCCTTACCACTTTTTCTTTGTTCTGATTCCTCATTTAGAGTTTATTCTGCTATAGTTCATATGGCATTCTGTAAGCTGTTTTATAATTTTAAGAAAATGATAAATACACACAAAATAATGGATGATGAAAGTTGGGATTATAACAAACTATGAAAATATGAGAAGATCTGAAGGGCTAAATTATTTTTTCAGATTAATTGGCTGGAGCTGGGTAGCATAGAGCTCACCTGATTATAAGTGTGGGCCCAGCATGGATTGCTGGTCAGCCAATCTCATTAGTATAATGTGAAAACTCATTGTGTTTAAATTTACATTCTCTCAGTAATATAAATATACTTGAGCATCTTTTCACTTTTTATTCACCATTTGGATTTTCTCTATAGTGAATTGCTAGCTCAAAAAATCATTTCTTTTATTTCTCTTGGGTTTTCTATTTTGTGAACTCTGGAAATAACTTCTTTCTTTAATGATTAGCCAACACTACTTTTGTTGTTATTGCTCAAATTGTTCCAACTTTGACCATTGGAAACATTTTCAGTTTATTCCTTGGAACCTTTCACATTATCCTAATCATGGTATTGATAGACATGTAGGATGTATTCAATTTCAAGCTATTATGAATAATCATGCTGTAATGTAAGCATTTTTGTAATATCTTCTGATGTAAATGTTTATGTGTTTCTGGTTGACTGATATGAAATGGCTGATATTCAAATGGCTTTTGTTGTCCAAAATTATAATTTCATATGGCTCAATCTAGTATTGGGTATGGAAGAGTAGAATGTTTAGATCATAAGAAATGCCTACATTTAACATTAATAGATCATGCCAAGTGGCTTTTTAAAGTATATGAAAGTTCTTGTTGCTTCACAACTGTTGAGTTGACTTTCATAGCTCCTGAAAAGAAATGTTACAGTTCTAATCCTACTGTCTCAGAATGTGATCATATTTGGAAACAGGGCCATTGTAGTTGTAGTTAGCTAAGACAAGGTCATACTGGAGTAGATGGGCCCCTAGTCCAATAAGACTGGTGTCTTTCTAAGAAGGCAATTACATGAAAACAAAGACACAGGGATAGAGCCATGTGGAGACAGAGGTAAAGCCTGGAGTGATACATCTATAAACCAAGAAATTCCAAGGATTTTCAGCCATCACTAGAAGCTAGAAGACAGGCATGATTCTTCTTCAAAGCCCTTAGAAAGAACCAGCCTTAACACCTTCATTTTAGACTCCTAACCTCAGAACTGTGAGATGATAAACTTTTGTTCTTTAAGTCACATATTTTGTAGCAATTTGTTCTCACAATACCAGGAGCTAATAATATAATCTTTACCAATACAGAACAATTTTCAGGCTTTTTAATGTAGACATTCCGATGGATGTATAACAGCTTTCATTGTAGCTTTAATTTGCATTCACTGGTGACTAATAAAGCTGAGCATCTTTTTGTTTGCTTATCAGCCATTTTGATAGTCTATTGCATAAATTGCCTGCTAGAAATTTGTCTCATTTTTAATTGGAATTTTTTTTCTTTTTAATTTGTGCACATTTTTATATATACTATAAACTAGCTCTTTGTTGGTTTTAAAATATTTTCTTCAACTTTTTATTTCCTTTTCATGCTATTAATAATTTTATTTCATGAACAGAACTTTAAAATTGTAATGCCATTCATTTGTATCAAACTTATCCCTTATTATTAGTGTTTACTTGAATACTATTTAAGATATGTTTTCCTACACCATAGTCAGAAAGATATCTTTCTATATTATCCGCTGAGAAAAATGGTTAAGATTAGGATTAGGTTTACAATTCATCTAAAATTGATTTTTTGGATACTATAGAGTAAAACTCTACATTTTTTTCTTTGTCATTATCCAATTGACCCAGAACCATGCTTTTAAAGGAAGTCCAAAAAGGGGAAGAGCCATGTTGGCTGACTAGATGTAGCTAGGGAGACCTTCTCTCACCAAGATACTAGACCATTAAGAAGGCTGGCATACTCTGAGCAGATCTTTGGAAGATCTAAGAGTAGACAGAAGAAGAATGCAGAACTTGAGCAGCTTGGAGGAAGCTGGGAACCCTGCATGGGGTTGCCAAGCAACAGGACTTATTCCTGGCCCCAAGTGGCCCCTAGAGGTAGGGTGAGTTAAACAGGCATGGGTTAGCCCACTCTTGTCATGGACCTACCGAATCCTAGCTGCAGAAGACCGCATAATCCCCACAGACATTTGAGCTGGCAGGGAGAGTTGCCTGGAGTGTTGGAAGGGAGTTCACAGTGGGTTTGGTGTGAGAATGCCTGCAGTGGAAAATGGCCAGGAATGCCCATCCTCTAAGGTTTACCATGCTTCTCTAGGTGTCTTTGGCCTTTTTTTGACTGTTGGACCTGTATAGAACAGGGCTGTCTTGCCTGTGGGATGAGGCTAGTCTTATCTGAGCACTCCTTTTTCCACTGGCCTCTCCCTGGGTCCCTGTCTTACCACATACACTTGCAGTGCAGACTCAGATGCCCAACTGAGTTGCTTCCTAGAGAGGACACCACCATAGCACCTTTGCCTGAAGACCACACCTAGTAATTGGAGAGTTCTGCAGATGGGCTTTCAGTAACATCCACTCATAGCCT